AAATTTCGACTCGGGAACTTAAAACGAATGTTAAAATATGTTACATTTTATTTCTTTTATTTCCTACAAGGATAAATCGACAAATAAAACAGCCTCGGGGCAATTTAAAATGGATTTAAAGCCACTGATAAGATACACGGTAAACGTATCATTGGATACTACAACTTTTGTGTTCGAAAGTTTCTCAGTTAATGCTCGCACGATCATTTAAAATGTTCGAGAACTTCGTAAAGAATTATAGTTAACATTCCCATAAATCGCGCGAAGAAGCCGTAACATTTCTCACAATGGACAATAATGCCCGAGAAAGAGCGATAATACGGGGAGACTTCCACCTTGCGGTGTATACGCGCTTTCAATAACGGCGCTTTCCACATCGTGATTAAGGTACAGAGCCACGACGTGGATTTTTCTCATATTTGACGGGCAAATCCGGCAAAACGCGTGATCACGAGCAAGAGCGGAGATCACGCGGGTCTCCTGCTCGATATTATCTGCGCTATTATGTATCGCGGCCTAATACTATTATACCGTTCGTACAACGCCGATATGTGTGTAGCGTGGGACTGCTGCGAGTACTCTCTTGGTGGGCGTTGTTGCGGTGAAAGAGAATCTCGAGCGGTTTCAGTATCGGTGATCTTTAACATAGGCGGGTGGAGGAGACGGGGCTGGCAGATTAAAGATTCTATACGACGTGTTTTATCTAACGAACATGTATTCCAGGATCTCCGATATGCAAGTGGTATATCTTCGATGAGTTTTAGTCTTAATGTTATCTCCCCATTATTATCTTGCGTTCCCGTGGCCTGAAATATCGTAATGATTATTTAATCCTGCTATTTCTGCCGCTCCTTTTTTCCATCTATTTCGTGATCGAGATTCGGACAAAATGCGATTCGTCGACATTGCGCTCCTAAGTTTTCAAATTTCGTAACGTTACTTTACGATACATATATTTATAAGATATGGAAAAGTTAATTAACACGTTTATTCATAAAATCACATTGCAACATATCGACTGATCTCATTCGCGAGGTCGTATCTCGATTTTACATAAAAATCAGAAATTGCGTAAAATCGAGATGCGACCTTGCGAAAGAAATCAGTCGATATGAACATCTATTTTGTAACTTGAATACATTAAATATGTACAGGAAATTAGTAGATTGATGGAATTAATAAATTGCAATTCAAGAAAGTCAATCTTTATCTTAACGCTCGTTAACTTAAAATTAAAATATTGTTTTATAATAGTAAATTATTCTTTAAATTGCATATTTATTTCACTCCAAGAATACACGTCAAATGTAAAAAAGATTTCTAGGAACTCAAGGTGCGATATAAAATATTTATATGTGCCTACAGCAATGAAATCTGATCTAAAATTACACCGGTTTTAATTTTTGCTGGCAACCCAATGCGAACAATTATTTAAACGACATAAACGTTCAAGCAATACCATAACGACACGTAAAATATCTTTATGAATATTTTACGTGTCTTTATGGTATCTCTCGGACGTTTGTGTTGCCTAGATAATTGTTCGCTTAGCATTGCCAGCAGGAATTAAAACCGGTATAATTTTAAACCAGATTTTATTGCTATAGGCACACAAAAGTAATCTGAGTGATTTTCACGTTTACGTTTTTCCCATCCACATTAATTTAAGAATGTCTAGAGTGGAAAGTATCTTGAAAGAGCAATATATCGAGCAATCCGATTCTTTATGTATAAAATAATTCTTTTAGATTAGAAGCCGATACTAAAGATACTAAAAATATTAATACTAAAGTTAGTACTAAAACGAAAAATGTACAAGATGAATAACTAGTTTGTACGTAAATTTTTATTTCCTCTATTTTTCAAACGTGTTTCTAGACTATAACAGACTGGTTTGACAAACATAATTAGTCTGCAATCATCATAATTAATACGATAAAACTTCAACTTTCCTTCAACTTCGCGAATTACAGCATTGATCGCACAGCAAAAATGACACTTTTCTTTTCACGTGGACACAGGTCTTCCGATGAGAAACTCAATGAAACCGCGCCGGTCTCGACGCCCGGGGATATCTGTCGACCTCGCCGAAGTGTCGCCTGGTCCTGCCCTCGGTCAGGGTCAGGTAGCAAGCCTTAATTTGCAGGCACCGCTCGTACATTGTTTTTGAACACGAGGTTTGGCCTCGTTTCACGCACGATCGGTGAAAGCACGGCGGATAATTCGCGGACGACTCGAAAGTACCTCTTTGCATGCACTCTCGGCGCGCAGCCAAAGTCAGCCTTCGTGGGCGATTATGCGCGTGCGAAGCAGGGCAACGAGATGCATACCTCGCCGTGCATAGATACACGCATTCGGCTAATTAACCGCACGGACGGCTATGGCGGGAAACAATCTCCGTCTCGTAATACTATCTCTCACTTTCGCAATTGCCGTTTTCGATCGAGTTACGTGGCCCGTTAGTGGATCATCGTAACATTTCGCTGAAGGAAGTTGAATTAACCGTAATGATATCCTCGATAATACAACCCAATCTGATTGATGTAATCGCGACGTTATAGGATATCTCCTTATTTCGCCAAGTTACAGAAGATTGCTCGCTATCGTCGGAAAAGTCTTAGTTCGGTAGGAGATTAGCCACGGAACGAAAAGTGCAGCTGTCGTAGCTAAAAACTGCATGCGGCAACTAAGTTTCAGTTGTAAAATATGGACAGCTAATGATGAGGTACGGTCGCAAACATTTTTCAGTGATTCAAATGCCAGAAGCGACGCAATGCGCTGTGCTTTAGAAATTTATAATAATAGCAGCAAAATATTTTTAGCAAACCATGATTAGCTACGGTATAGCAAACATTTTTCGGTGACTCAAATGCCAGAATAAGCGACGCGATTTTAACGCATTTCATTAATTTTTCTTACATCTTTAATTTATCTTCCGTCCATTATTTATTCGAATCCGTCATATTGTTATCATAGATGCATGCGTATCTCGAGAAAATTACTGTTTTTATAATACAAGCTCATGCTTCTTTAAAGAAGACGTGACAAATCCTAGAATAATACATTTAATTTTGTGCTGGTGCTAAATTTGATCAAAATCGTCCAGGTTTTCGCCCGTGAATCGTTCGAAGAATTCGCTGTATCGTTTTCTAAGTCGGGAAGAGCCTAGCCGGGTGTCAGAAGCGCGTTTTAAGAGCCGCGCCGGCTACGCGAGTTGAAGCCGCAGCGTTATTTCCTCGCGTGCATAAACGAAAGTCCAATCGCGTGTCAATTTCTCCCCGTGGCAGCGTTTTCTCTCGCGGCTGCTTACGCGTTCTCCCCGCGTTCGCGGCTCGCGAATGTGCGCTTCAACGCGAGCGTAGAGAAGCGCGGATATCTATATACACGTGTCCGGGAACGCGCGTGCGTTTAATTCGCGATCTCGCGGACGCGCGTGCATTTAGCGGCCTCGCGGTGAAAATCCCGCGCGCGGGTACGCTATTGAGAAGTGACAATCACCGGTGAGCGTGATTTTTCGCGGCTCGGCGCGAAACTGAATGCACCAGGCATCTGCCGTGGCTGTCTCTTCATTCAATGGACCTCCATTGAAAGCTGAAGAGCAGTCACTGTGTAGGAACAAAGCGACCTCGTTTCGTCCTCTTTCAATGTAGAAGAACGCCAAACAAAAGAACTTAAAAAAATTATTTAGACACTAACATCCTGTCACGGCTCTTTAGCCTTCATTCCTTCGAATTTGTGTGTATCACATGAGAGCCTTATGAATTTTATTTATTAATTTGTTAAAAAGTAGGCTCTCATAAGGCTCTCGTGTGATAAACACAAATTTGAAGGAATACTAGTAAGATGCCGTGACAGGATGTTGGTGTCTAAATAACTTTTTAATTTCTTTTATTTGGCGTTCTTCTACATTAAAGTTAAAAAGTAAATACATATAATAAATAAAAATAAAAGTATTTTTAACTAAAGAAACGGTTTTTTAATGCTAATAGTTATTTTCATAAATATTTTATATTATATTTATTAAGTCAATTATTGTGAATCTACTTAAATTATTTTAATTAAACTTACTGATTATAAAACATTGCTCACTGACAATTAGTGATCAGCAATGATTCGACTTATTTATGTTTATTTCGTGTATAAGTTTTAAAGATTGTTATAACTATTTAGGGATATAAAAATGTTACAAATTAACATTTTATATCTCAGAAGTTAGGAAAATGTAGAAATTGCAAAAAGTATATTTTGTGATTATTATTACATTTTTATCTTTCAGGGATCGCCGAACGCAAGATTGTCTGTTATTACACGAATTGGTCGGTGTACCGGCCTGGCACGGCGAAATTCTCTCCTCAAAACATAAATCCATATCTTTGCACTCACCTGATCTACGCGTTCGGAGGTTTCACGAAGGAAAACTCGCTGAAGCCGTTCGACAAGTATCAAGACATCGAGAAAGGTAGGATAAAAATATGCACTGTCTACAAGACTTGTTGGTCTTTATTACCAATTTATCAAAGATTCACTGCAGTCTTATTAGCGTTTAAGAGGATCTTTTTATTGGCTTTGATGCACAAATTACAAGCGCAAAAACTATAGTTGACTGTCGGTAAAAAAGATGGCTGAGGGATCCTCTATCGAGGACATTCACTCAAAATCGGTATTTATCAGTGTATAAACTTAGTACAAATAATCGAACTTTAGGACTCAGTTGTCCCAAGGAAACTGAAGAATATGTCAAGCGCCTCTGAAGTATAAAAACTGTTATTTTCAATTGCAACGGAGATTTTACATATGTTAATACACGATCTATGCTGCTTACAATTAGTGTTTTAGCTTGGATTGCACTTACAATTAGTGTTTCAAGTTGTTCAATGCACCAGATTGACAAACTCCGAATTATCTTTGATGACTTAGCCGATATTTAACTTTCACTCTTTAATAAACACGCTCGCTCGACAGGCGGATATGCGAAGTTTACGGGTTTGAAGACCTACAATAAAAACTTGAAGACGATGCTGGCGATCGGCGGCTGGAACGAGGGCTCCAGCAGATTTTCACCGATGGTGGCCGATTCTCAGCGACGGCGCGAGTTCGTCAAGAACACCGTCAAGTTCCTCAGGCAGAATCACTTCGACGGCCTCGATCTCGACTGGGAGTATCCGGCATTCAGAGACGGCGGAAAGCCGCGAGATAAGGACAATTACGCCAACTTGGTGCAGGTAGATGTCTCAATCGTATCTTATCGCCGAAAGGATACGATGCTTCTCGTAGAAGTATCGGCGAATAAAAGAGGAACGTTAAAGATTCATAGATATAAGAAACGTGGATGAGTGTAGAATGATAAGGGAAACAATTGCAATTTTGTCTTGATCAAAAGGAGTGATTAAAGAAAGCTCGTTAAGATAATTAATTTGCGAATCGATAGGAACTTCGCGAGGAGTTCGATCGAGAGTCCTCGAAGACCGGAAGATCGAGATTGTTGCTGTCGATGGCGATGCCCGCCGGCGTCGAGTACATTGATAAGGGTTACGACGTACCCAGGCTCAACGAGTACTTGGACTTCGTCAATCTGCTCTCTTACGACTATCACTCGGCGTACGAACCCGTTGTCAATCATCATTCGCCGTTGTACCCGCTGGAGGAGGACAATGAGTACAATTACGATGCGGAATTAACTATCGTGAGAGTTCACTCGTCAGGATCTTATAATTATCGCTTCAACAGATCACCTAGTAACGCGTTCTCGTTTGTGTCTAACAGGATTATACAATCACTTATCTCCTGGAGAAAGGCGCGTCCGCGGATAAGATCATTCTTGGGATACCAACGTATGGTCGATCGTACACGTTGTTCAACCAAGATGCAACCGAACTCGGATCGCCCGCGGATGGTCCAGGCACCGAGGGCGAAGCCACACGAGAGAAAGGCTATCTTGCCTATTATGAGGTAAACTTGATCGCGCACATCTACACACGCGCGAAGCCTCCTTTACATTGTATATTAAGCAGTGCGACGTTAATGTGACACATACTTAGAATTTATAGGAGCAACGGCATTTCTGTGTATCCAAATTTACAAGCGTACATTTTATTCATATATTCAGAATTAACAAGTTAAACGTTTAATATTTTCAAGATTTGTGAGGGTATAGCGGAATCGGATGAGTGGGAAGTCGTTCAACCAAATACCAAAGCCATGGGGCCGTACGCCTTCAAGGGCAATCAGTGGGTGGGATACGACGACGAGGACATAGTCAAACTGAAAGCTCACTACGTGAACGAGAAGAAGCTGGGAGGCATCATGTTCTGGTCGATAGACAACGACGATTTCCGCGGCAAGTGCCACGGTCGACCTTACCCATTAATCGAGGCTGCTAAAGAAGCATTGCTCGCGGATAATAGGTAACAATCGAAGAGTAATTGAGCATATTATATGATAACGAATGTCAGTGTGACAATAAATGTCAAATTGTCAGAAATATTTTAAGCCGCGGTTCTTCTAATACGATTAAGAAAATTATTTCTAGAGTTCGATAATTTCTTTTCATTAGCAACCACATTAAATCAGAAATATTGATTGTTGCTGTTATTATCACGTAGCAGGAATACAATTGACAAGACGAAGTCAGTAGACAATCGGAAAAAGACTCGCACCCAAAGCAACGCTCGTAAGTCGAGCGCGAGCAGCCGAAGAGGTAGCACTACATCGGCTCCGATCACCAGCAAGCGCGTGTCCTCTTCAAGACCGAAATACCGTGTCATTTCGCAAGCGAGCAAGGAGGAACAGGAAGATCGAGAGGTATCGAGGAGATCGTACGATCCGTCATCAGATGAGGACACGGAGGGTAGAAACACCGTGAGAGTCACTGAGAAAATCGAGCGACCGAAGAATCGAAGCAGAAATAAAACGCGAAGCGGTGCTACCGATCGCAGCACCCGTAGAAAGCAGTCCAGACGTAAGGGACAAAGCAAGACTGGCGAGGACGAATCCTTGAGCAACAAGTTAACGACTCCTGAACCACCAACTACTCCCGATCCAGGAACCGGTAAGTTTTCGTGAGAAAATATTCACGAGACAACATGTTTTTAACAATTGGTTGATCAGAAGCTCTCAAATGTTTTGAAATATTTAAAATTTAATGCGGCAAAGGACTAGGAAAGAAGTATGTCTTTACGTAGAATGATGTACTACTGGTTTGCTCTTTATAGACTTTAAATGCGAGGACGAAGGCTTCTTCCCGCATCCTCGAGATTGCAAGAAGTACTTCTGGTGTCTCGATAGCGGTCCCAGTGGACTTGGCGTGGTTGCACATCAGTTCACCTGTCCTTCAGGTAATTTTATTTAGATTACTGTAAATAATTTTGATAATCTTCACATTTAACTTTAAACTAATCAACTTCATGAAGAATGAGAAGGGAATTTTCAATATGAAATTAGCATATAAATCAGAAATTTTTATAAATTAAAATAAACAAAAAATAAATCAAAAAAATTGTTTTAAATTATCCATACTTGTATCATCTCCATTTATTACTAGATCTCTGACTAGAAACAGACTTTTTGGACTCGTTCGCATCTTTTGAATTTTCGCAGGATTGGTATTCAACAAAGGCGCGGACTCTTGCGATTATCCACGCAACGTGATTTGTCCCAAGGCGTTGAAAACATTGCTCGTCTCGACCACCAGATCGCCCATTACGGCCGCGACAAGCCGAACAACTTACTTGCACAGCACAACGACTGCAAAGGCGGAATCGGAAGAATACGATTCGGAGGAAGATTATGACGAAATCGAGGAAAGTGAGGAGGAGGAGGAAGAGGAGGAGGAGGAAGAGAAGATAAAAGAAGAACCAAAGACTACCACGACGGCGAAACCACTCGTGTATAAAACACTAACCAGAAATAGACCAAGTACGACGACCACTACTACAACAACCACTTCGAAACCAAGCGAGCCCGAAAAGATCATCGACAATGAAGACGAGGAGGATCCGAAGGTGATCAAGGAACTCATCGATCTCATAAAAAAAGCTGGCAAGTATAACTTTGCTGAACATGTATGTATAAACTACAGTGTATGTTTCTGATAAGTCTATTACATTCGTCTGCAATTACCGTAATAACTTTTGTTTGAATATTCCTTCTTTTACATTATTTCTTATTACATTGATTTTAATATAATATTCTTTATTCTTTTCTGCAATGAAACCTTTTATAATACAATATTTTATAATAAATGGCTTTACAAATTTTTATTTTATTTCAGGCGGAATAGAAGAGTTGGAAAAGCAATTGCTCCTTCAAGAGAAGAATTCAGACACAAGATCAGGTAGCGAAAGCGTTACACCAGCTGCAATTAGTCGTAGTTTGTACGAGCGTGTATTGAATCGCCAAGCGAGCAGAATTGGTAATCATCGACCCGCATTGTCGTCCTCGGAAACCAGTTATGTGAACGGGCCGGGAAGAGCACAGTTCGAAGGCTTGGACGATATTCCCGAAGTGAAAAGTCTTAGGCGATCACAGAAACCTCAATACGTCACAATCGAGAGATCCAGGTCAGTCGCTTCTTTATTAGCAAAAGTATACTTTCTTTGTTAAGTGTATTTATTGAGACATTGATGAAGTTGATTTTATAAATTGTAAAAGTTTCATTCGGACACCTGTTGATTACGATTCCGATTAGATCGGTCACAAAGGAATCTTCCTCGGAGAACGAAGATATAGACGAGGAGGAAGAAAGTGACAACACTGACGTAGCTTCTTCCGAGGAGAAAACCGTCAGCAATCCGTTGGAAGACAGCTCGTCTACGCAACGAGTGACGCCCAGTTACGTAAATATTCGACGAACGCGACTTTCCACCACAACGTCCAGGTAAGATAATTGATAGAATAATTAATCTTGTTCCATATCTCTCACAATATGAAATTTTCAGAACCGAGAACGACGTGGGGGGGAAGGAAGTAGAAATTGAGGAGGAAAGGCCGACTCGCAGACGACGTCCGTTTGTTTCTTCAAAGTAAATATACTTTTTATTATTCGTGTTTCGTTATCAAAAATCTGTTAAAAATTGTTCATATGACCTGTAATGTCTTTTTAGACAACAAGATAACGAAGCAAGCTCTGAAACATCTAAACGTTTTCGAAATCGTGGTTCGAGTTTCAGGTATAAGAAAATAAATTTGCAAATATAAAATAATACAATATGACACAATATAATTGTATAATTAACTAATGCGGGAAATTAATAATCGACACAACTGGTAAATTCTAATTAAAGAAATTTTGCCCGCCTAGAAGAAAGTCCAGGTTCAAGCCCTGGCTGAAGTAATATTTTTCGCAATAAATTTCTTTAATTCGAATTCGCCAGTTGTGTCGACTATTAATTTCCTACAGTGGTTAATTATTTACTGGCGACAATAAGTCTTTATTCTTGATAATTATATAATATTTAAGTATATATTATACAGGGGTACATAATGCGTTATCTTACTATATTTACTTTTGCGAGATTTTTATCTCCTCATTATATAACAACTTTAGGAAATCAGAGAAGAGGGACGATTCGAGAAACACAAATCGATCAGCTGAGAAAGATGATGATTCGTCAACAACCAAATCTAGGTTTCTATACATCATTTCTTTTTAATATAACACCTTGCTATATCACGTTCACGTTCTTACTTAATATTTTAGGTACGCCAGCATACAAAGGTTCAGGAGTACCACTTTGAAAACTTCAGATGACTTGTCTAGTTCGATACCTTTATCGGAGGTCACCAGCGAGACCATTTCACCGACGAGACTAGAAGAGAATTCAGAAGTATCCAGAACAACAGCTAGTACAACAGCTTCGTTGTCCACGACGCCTGCAGCGACCATTTCGACCTCCACCGAGATCATTACCGTGATCAGCGTCGAACCGCCGGAAAACTCATCAAGTGCCAGTCCTAAAGCAGATATCGGCTCTACCACTGACTCGATGAAGCTGGTGGAAGATTCGGCAACGGAAATCCTGTTTACAACATTGCCAGCAGCTAGCAGCAGCTCAAGTCCGTCGACAACGACAACGACGACAACGTTGGCGACCAGGCCGACGATCGCTGTGGTGTCGCAACCGCGACCGTTCGGTTTCACTAGACGAAAATTCGGTTCATCAGAAGCGACGACGGCGGCGACGACCCCGTTGAGCAGGTCCAAGGTGAGTATTACGTCGCGAAATCCCACGCGTCCGTCCAGCCCGGTTCTGGGGCGCGTTCGATTAAGGACGAGGCCGACCAATCGAGTTACCGAGGAAGAGTCGGTGGATCAAGTGAACACTCCAAGCACGGAGACTTCTACGTCCAGGAGCAAGGAACTTAGCAGATCGCGCAGTAGGGGATCCAGCAGGTATACCCCGCCGACGTCGAGATCAAGAACGCAGAATGTTTCTGCAAACTCCGTCCCAGGTACCAGGTATAGAGAAAGAGATAGGACAACAGCTTCAACGACCGTCACCAGCGATGGCCTCAGAAGAAGATATCGAAGACCTAGCAGAATCAACGGCGCAGTAGACTCTATCAAAGCTAACGAACTGGATGATAGTCCGATAGTCAGAATAACGCAAGGCAGTTCTAGGAAGAACCCGTTGTCTCGATCGCGATCTGACAGCAGTGACGAGGAGAGCGATAAAATAACGAACGTCAGAGTTTTCAGAAAGCCAACTGTTAATCGCGAGCTGTATGATAGGACGAAGTACACGAGGAAGAGGAACAACGTGGAAGAGCAAAAAGTGCAAAAGGTGAACGATGCATCGAATCAGAAGCACAACACCACATCGATAACAGTTCCCAGAACAAGTTCTTCCGCGGAGACTGACAAGATTGAAGGAAACGATTTGCTGAACAGTGTGGATCAATCGACCGCTACGGTTGATTCCGTCGTTGAATCGAACACCATCCAGCCGATCTATACCGTGAAACCGAACACACAAATTAGCGTGACGACTGTACCTAGCAGTAAGGTGGATTATACGAGCGACCGACCCGAGGATGCTGTCGCCACGACAACTGCTCACATTGAAGCCCATGCATTTAATCCTGATTTGGTGACAATCGTTTCTACCGAGCGTACCGTTGATACTGAGGAAAAGACGTTAAACGCGCCAAGAAAACGAAAGGTCCTCCTAAGAAGAAGGCCGATATCATCGAGCACAGCTGCCAACATTATTGAAACCGAAGAAGAGGAAAGACTTCAAGTATCTCACAGACGAAAAGTGATAAAACGTAAACGTCCGTTTCAAGGCACCTCGTCGACATCGGTTGAAGTTTCCGAAGAAGAGAATTCAAGCCCTCTTCTCCTAGAAACGACGACTCCGATGGGAAGCAATAAAACTGTTGAAAAATCAACAGCTGCTTTCAATCAGACAGGAATTACCCCAATCAACAAGAGTGCTGAAGAATCAACGATCGCTACTGGTCGAACTGAATTTACGAAAGAAATGGAAGATTCAACTCTAACTATCATGGAAACCACCTTGCCAACCGATTATAACGCTGATAGTTTCACGAAAGTTACATTGGAAACTCCTGCGACTGAAACTACGACGATATCAACCGAGAAAGCTACAGATAGTCTCAATACCGCCACTATATCGATGACTAACACAGACGCTAATGAGGGTCGTCAGTCGACAATTGAAATGGGCACTGAAGCTACCACGATGGAATCAACGTTGTCGACGCCCACGATTTATAATACTGAAACCACCATGTTTCTAGAAGATACATCGATGCCGTCTACCGAGAACTTACCCACCACTCGCGTGCGAATAATCGTCACGTCGCCCACGTTGGATGCAGCCACCACCCGCGCACAAGCAACCACCACGCCGGAATCAGATTCATTATTGGCCGCAAAATCGAGCTTCGAGTCGAGATACGCGCGTAAGAAGTTCATTCGCAAGAGTCCTGTATCGTCTTCGGGAAACGGAACCAATCGATATCCTCCCGCGTTATCGTCGACAGAAAACAGCAGCCTCGAGGTTCTCTCAAGACGCAGGAGCAGCTTGTTCACTCGACGTAATCCGGTCTCTTCTAGTACCGCCGACACACTTCGCGATGATCTTAAATATCAGGAAGAGAAAGAAGAAGAGAAGGAAGAGGATATAAAAGGCGGACCCCATGACTCGATTAGACAAGACGTTGCAGAAGACACGACCTTGAGGAGCAAATTGATTTCGACGAATGGTTTTTCCGATGACACCGCAGAATTTTGGAAACAGTATACTACAACTTCCGTAAGAGGCCAAGTAAATCATCCTTCAGTCCGTGTCGAGGATGTTGAAGATCGTAAAGTGGCGGAACACGCAGAAGATAATGCGTATCGATTAACGTCGATTGCCACTCGCGGCCCCGATACAATTCGGTCGCGATACAAGGTTCCCGTAATCCTGAAGAGACCATTCGATCCTGAGGAGGCTTTATCGCCCAGACGATATCCTCCGTTAGACTCCGCGCCCGAAGAATCTGAGGAGACGCCGGAAACAAAAGAGGCGAGGCTGAGGCAATCCACCTTACGGCAGCCGCGAACGCGTTATAAACTTCAAGACCGAGATAGCGTCAAAATCGATGAGGAAGCTACGTTGCCGAATGCAGAGTCCCCTAGCAAGTGGCTATATTTCAGAACGCGCTCGTATCCAAAACGTACATCGTCGACCAGCACGGAAGCGGCGGTCACGGAGACCCTAATACCGGCGAAAAAATTCGATTACGCCGCCGATGCCTTTCTCCGGAAGCAGCAGTCGCTGCGAACAACGACGCCGAGAAGCAATGACTTTCTGGACTCGCAGAACCTGATCGATCCATATTACATGCGTACCACGACGGTGAAACCGTCCGTCACTAGATTAGTGACGTCGGTGACGGAGTCCGGCACCACAGAGCGGCAGAAGATCCTCATCAAGACCAAGTACTCGTCGCTAACATCGACCACGAGGATACCAGCGGACCAGTTTTCCCCAACGACTCCGTTGTCAGTTTCGGTGACTGGAGTCGACGACGACGAGTCTGCTAACGAAATCCGTCAGGGTGTCGAGCGGTCCACTCTGCCGATCGAGAGCGAGTTTAATTACCGTTACGACGGCCGATTCACCACGGAATCTCACGAGTCCTCGACCATCGAGATCGAATCGGTGTTCAACAACCTGATCGTCGGCAAGGGCTCCGCGAAGTAGTAGTATACGAATGTCGTTATTAATCGTCGACGTAGTCAACGTCGATAATGTACATAGACGCAGCCATTAATTAATTAAGAAGCCGATCGCGATCGCCGATTTACGGAGAGATTATTAAAGAGTTAGTAGACGTTTGAACGTCACTAATGTATATATAGTATTTAATGAGCTTAATTACATTTAAGATTGCTCTATGAAATGGGACATTAAACAAATGCGACTATATGAATCAAAAGGAATGACAAGGACTCGCTATAGCTCACGACGACCGATGACCGTATAATCGTCTTCACGTATCATCCTCACATCATCAATAATGACGAATCATAACGAGCACCTTCTTCATCCGCTTACTCAGAGGAACCTTGACCGAAACCTCTGATAACTCTCTCGATGATATACTTCTACTTACCACAAATACAATCATCATTAAACGCTATCGATGACCCAGGATGACTCCTTATCACACAAATTAACGCAGCAAGCAAGACACGTTCGCGGCGCTTCAATAGATAACTAGAGAATCCCCCTCTTTATGTTCCTTCTTTTCTCTTCCAAGACGCAGCTCACGTACGGACAGAAAGACAGAAAGAAGGAGACTGCAAAGAAACAAACTATGGAGGGAAAGGGAGAGAAGAAAGGGAGAGGTCCCTAGGGACCTCTGCATTAAAGCGCGCTGCATTGTTCTGATTTTCAGGTCGCCGATTTGGAAGCTATCAGATTGCCGACCCTGAAGGAACTGATCGGCTATCCGACGACTTACTATGACGATCGTACCGCCACGACGTCGTCGTCCGTACTCTTGCACTTGCTGCGTAACGACGTGGACAACGACATTAGCCGGCAGAACGTCGAAGAGTCGTTGAGAGGGGCAGACGAGTCGCAAGACGGCGAGAAAGAGATCACCCAGTCACCGAGAGGCGTGATCGAAGAAACCGGCGACTCGTGGCTGCGGCAAGCCTCCGAGAACAAAGCGAGATCTCGCGCTCCAAGAATGGAAAACATTACAAACTTTGATGAAGGAGTCTCAGTCACAAACACTATTCAGGGAGGCGGAAGTAAACGAAAGACGTCTACGACCTCGGTCTATTTGAAGCCGACTACAATGCGCGGCATTCCTCTCGCCAGTTTGATTCCGAGCCCGGTAAAGCGCGGGTTTTATATCACCAGGAGTGAAAACGATCTGCCATCATCGATACTGGCAGACAGTTTTACGCCATCTTACACAACGATCGACACTCCCATCGAAGTGCAGCAGGCGGAAACTACTTTAATTTCTGACAGTTCTACGATCGATGAGACTGTCACGGTCACTCGTAATAATCAGATCGAATCGGGACCCAATGCTCTCGATGACAATGTAAACGATATCGTTAGTGACAAAGGCGTCGATAGTCGCGAAGAAAAGTATTCCACGCCCAGTCCTTCAGTAATCTTCTCGAAAGATAATGCTGAAAATCTTTCGAATCATGAAAAACCTGACGTGATTACAATTCCTGTCGCCAGGCCAGCATCCAAAAGAAGAAAACCGCTCCGTGATTTCGATCGTACGACGCCTCTTTCCAACTCTTTCGTCGTATCCTCGACAACACCGACGAGACGAAGAATCGCCCTCGCTGTAAACAGATACAATGAAGCTACCACTCCGTTGTGGACGGGCAGACGCATAGTGGCAAAGAAAAGAATCAGAACCACTGTCTCGCCGATCAAGGATGCCGTAAGACGAATTGAGAGCGATTCTATTCGCGCCGAAACGAGCACTCAGAAAAGTGCTTCTCCAACTACTAGATCCGTTTCGACCTTGACGTCAAGAAGGCGTAGACCTCCCGCGACTTCGACGATACCGACGATTCCCTCGATCATGCCCGATTCCACGGCATCTGAAATTTTAAACACTTACAATAATCTTGTAAATTCTAAAGATACGAAAACCGAAGATCCGGAAAGTCAGGCAACTGTAGAAACAGCGGTGACTTTGACAAACTCGGTAATCACGGCGACACCTTTAATCGTCAGAATTATTTCGACGACAAACGATCCCAGGACTGCTGATATTTCAACGTTCTCAGACGATCCTACGACCATGACGGTTCCTGCAGTCGCAAATGACGCGTCTATTACGACCGCACCGTCGACAGTCACGATTGCGAAAGCACCCGCAGTTACGACTGACGCTACAATCACGACTACAGCCGCGATTACAAGTATTGAAGTTGAAACTACTTCTCTGAATTATTCCGTGACTGATAATCCAACAATCGAGAATACAAATGCAATCCTGACTGATTCTACAGCTACAATTGCGTTCGAAGCAAACGCTGAAACTGAAATTACTTCTACAAATGTAAATATAGTTCCGGAGACTGCGCAGACATTCGTAACTGACCCTGTAGTTATATCTACAATAGAGAGTACTGAAATCGAAACTACACCCACGATGACAAATTACTCCACAATCGAGATACCAAATACTGCCAATGCGCAGGAAATTGCGATGGAATCTGCAAATACGGCTACGATGCAAATAAAAAATCCTGATATTGATGCTATTTCCACAGTTGCAAATTATTCTGCAGTTACAATTCCATCGACTGTAAATATGCAGAATATTATGACTGATGCAATTTCGATCACTACTGCAAGTACTGAAGTTGAAACAATTTCCACGGGTGGAAATTATTCCACATTTACTACAACAATTAAGAATACCACGACAATTCCTGTTACTGCAACAGTTCCCGTTACTACAACTGCTTCACCATTAACTACGGTTATTTCTTCAGCTATGAACACGCAACATGCAACTGCACCTATGACGAATAATCTCGTAGATGCAAATACTATAACTGCAAACATGATAACTACACCTCTTAGTGTAATTACTCCAACGATTGCTGATCTTAACGTAATTACGTCTGCAAATGCGAACGTTCCTTCCACTTCTGCAATTAGCGAGACCTCGTCAACCATAAATCAGCCCAGAACTAGTTCTGTAACATCGTTCAAAGCTCCCGTTACGGGTACAGTCATAACTTCAACGACTTCGGCTACTCCAACTTTAATAACCGAAGCTTCTACGATACATCTCTCAGATCCAAACAATCTTGATAGTAGAAGTAATTCTAAAGTAGCCGTCACGGTAACTGCAGAATCTACTCAAACTACTGAAATTCCTACGACATTCGAAACCGCCCCAGTATTTACCTCGACAGTTACCGCATCTTCCAAGCCTCCTCATAGTACGGATTTCGAAGCTTCGTCAATTGTAACAGCTGCATTGCCAACTCAAGAAGTCAAAAGTTTCTTTATGCCAGAGGACACTCAAACTCCCTCGACTCTCCCTTCAATCGTAACACTAAGTACTAATAAAGCGACTGTGACTTCTGAAAGATCTGCAACTTCTCCGACGTTGTCCGCGATTTTCGGTGAATCGTTTACGAGAAATTCTATAATGCAGAGAACTTATGACGCAAATTCTGTACGAACAACTGAAAAGTCTACAATGCCAGAACAGAAGACAGATTTCAAGGAAGTTACGTCAACGAAAACACAAAGTCGAACTGAGGATCAAATAATTACGACCATTACCAAGCTGAGTTCTAGACGAACGACGAGTGAAGAGTCTACAACTCCAGAAATGAAAATAGTATATGAGGAAACTACTTCAAAGGCTACAGAAAACCAAAAACAAAATCAAACATCTTCAGAACTCGACACAACTAATTATCAATTCAGTCAGAAAACCGCGAGACGTCGCGTTCTAAATCGAACGAACAATTGGCTTGGTAGTTCTGTAACATTGCAAAGGACTAACCAATCTCCTCGACATCGGGTTACGTTGCACCACGGACGATCACGAAGACCTCCAATTTACACATCGTCTGCGAAGATGACTGAGAAGAATCGTAGAAGAAGGATTATGCAGAAGAGAATCAGAGTTAACTCCGAAGCGTTTAATAGCACTGTCAGACCTAATCAGGATACTGTCAATATTCCGAATACTACTGAAGATCATGTTGCATATGATCGAGTGGAGAATGTAAAAGAAATGAAAGTTGTATTAGGAAAAATGGAGGAAAGAGTCGGAAAAGAAACAACTACCATTCTACCCACGGAAGAAATAACGGTATTTCTTCAATCATCAACTACTATTAAAAATGAAACACTTCGTGAGAATAAAAATATTGAAGAAAATCAAAAGGCTATACCGAAAAAAGTAAAGCACTCTCAAGAAAGCTTTACAACGACAGAAACCAGTACTAGTTCTAGTTTTACTAATGAGAGTGTTCCAGATAATTATCAAAATAATCTTCACGTGGCCGAGGATCTTTCCGAACCAGAAAAACCGAAAGAAATAATGAAAGTTGATTTGAAAAATATTAAATCTCAATCCGAGGAAAAGAATCCAATCAAAGAAATAGATACAGATTCTGATTCTATCAAAACAGATTTACAAGACAATTTTTCCAAAAATCCTTACGCAGATACGAATCTTTCCAACAAGGGGATCACAAGAAGAAGAATGAGAGTTGTATTAAAGAGGGTCAGACATAAATCTGACGAAAGAAATTCCACAATTGAAGAAACAAATGTGGAATCTGTTCCTACCGATAAAAATTTTGAAAATAATCTTTCAAATAACGTTAACGTAAGTCAGAATTTTTCCAATGAAGAAAAACCAAGAAGAAGAATGAGAGTGGTATTGAAGAGAGTTAAATCCGAGGAAGCGAGGACAAAGACTGAAGAAACCAATACAGAATATGATTCTAATGAAAGTCTTCAAGGTACTTTTTCCAATAATTTTTACAGTGCTAAGAATTTTCCCGAATATAAAGCCAGAAGAAGAATGAGAGTTGTATTAAAGAGCGTCAAACCCAAGTCTGAAGAAAAAAATTCGACAGTTGAAGAAACAACTGCAAATCATGATCCTACTAATGAAACTCTTCAAGGTACTCTCTCGAATAATTTTCGCGACGGTAGAAACCTTCCTATAAAATCTGGGACCAAAAGAAGAATGAGAGTTGTATTAAAGAGCATCAAGTCTAAATCTGAGAAAGGGAATTCAACAGCTGAAGAAACGAATGTAGATCCTGACTCTATCAATAAAAATCAAAGCGCTTTTGTAAATAATTCTCACAGAGATAGAAATATTCCCATCGAATATGGAACCAAACGAAGAATGAGAGTTATATTGAAAAGTGTTAAACCTAAGTCCGAAGAAAAAAATTCAACAATCGAAGAGACGAGTATAGATTCTGATTCTGTTGAAAAAGATCTTCAAGGCAGTTTTTCAGATAACCTTTACATGAACGAACATTTTTCCAACGAAGAAGAGGCACGAAAAAGAACGGAAGTGAGCGTCAAACCTAATTCCAAGGAAAGAGACTCAGTAGCTGAAGAAACAAGTGCAGATTCTGATTCTAGGAAAGATCCTCAAGTACTTCACGTATTTAACTTTTCAAGTAATCTTCATGTGGGCGATAATCTTCCCGACAAGAAAAAGAAACATTCTGAGTCCAAGGGAAAGGAAGCGATGACCGAACGGCCGGAAGACATGGAGCCGCAAACCACTAGGACGTCTGTTCCGGTCGAGGAGGACACTGATCGACCCTCGCTCGAGGTCAGTGCAGCTTTAAGTCGAAGATCCACTTTGCCTTGATAACATATTGTACTTCCTTCGCATGTTGCCCTAACCAAAACGGAAATGAAAGAACGAAACGCTGCAAAAGACTAATGAGGAACCCTAGTAGAACTGACTTACTACTGCGAATACCATCGCCTCTTGACGCTAACCAAAAGACCTCTCAAAGCATGATCGGCATTATTTTCTCGCAAACGTGGAGTCGTCGTAAAAACGTCATTGGCTTAAGCTTAAAAAAAATCGTCCGATTGTCTGAAGATACCTCTTATTCAACATATAATCTTCTCTTTTGAATCTGCTTCTGGTCGATCGGTATACTTCTAGGAGAGATCTCGGAGATCAATGCAAAGCCGCAGTACCATGAAGATTACTTTCAACCGCTTAAAATAACCACTCATTCGATTGCTGACTATAATCGTCATATATCTGACGTCTAATCAAAATAATTTATCAATCGAGTAGTATGACAACAAACTAATCAGGAAAGAACTGATTGTAATCGATCATAATTTAGTGGCTTCTCTCGAATGATTGTTTGGCAAGATTTCTTGATCATCGCCTCTCGCTGGATCTAACAACTTTTCGTGAAACGAAACTGGAGCTGCATTATCATCCTTTATGCCGCTACATCATCATCATATTCTAAGATACATCGCCTACCTGCGAAGACGCTCTTTTTCTCTGACTATTAAAAGCTACTTACTCCGGGATGGAAGCCGGAACATCAATTTGGAAATTTGACCTTTTTCTCTGACAATAAGCGGACATTCTGGGATGCGAGCGGACCGAGGAACATCTTCACATTTACTACTACTTCTTTCTGGCATTATAGATTAACAAATCTCTTCCCGAAAGGCGCGTTTCTACAAGCGTTCATTTTACTTCTTCTGTTATCTTCAACGATTGCTTAGATCAACGATTAATATCTTAGCATGGGACATCTCAAACAACACAAAAATCCACGAAAGTTTAGAATCCAAAAGACGTTTGAAAGATTAAGAGGTTCTTTAAGCTTTTTGAAAAGGTTGGCCGAAAGCTTAAAAAATCTATTATATTACAACTAAAAGATATTTAAAAAATTAAAAAGTGTTTTGTGATAAGACATATAAAAGATACGAAAAATATATTAAGTATTAATATAATCGAGATACAATGTGTTCTTTAAATGTTATTAAATAAAAGACAAAACCTAAAAGAGAAACTTTTTGGACTCTTTAAAAATATCTTCCAGATATTTGTGTTGTCTACGATATTAATCTTGAGACTTTCTAGATTTTCTTAATAAATCTGTCGCATAAGCTTCGCTTTGCCAAAAATTACGAACGTGCCTGTACACTTGCGTGCAGGCATTCGTAAACTACATCTACAGCATTGTAATATTAATATCGGTTTACGCATTTATTTATAGTACATAAATCAATCGTATCTCGAATAGGTGAAAAATGGTGGATCGGTTAGTCACAGCCCAGGAAACGGATATTCCAATAGACACAGGAAACCAACGTCATTCACAACGGTAGCCCCGCTAACCAATACTTTGTCAAATACATTGACCGTACATCGAAGACGTAGACCAGTTGAGACCACTTTATCGTCAAGAATAGATCTCGTCGGTAGGTTCACCCAAGAAGCTTCTCGTATATTTTATAGCCTTTATTTTTTAAGAATATTTTTATTTCTTCTGTCCAGTTTAATTTTTGTTTCTCTGTCGAACTATTTCTTTTTTCTTTTAGACACGTTCGAGGACACCGAACCCTATGTCAAATCAGCTGGTATCTTGCATGATCAGAATACAGACGTGTCCGATCAAAGTATCCACGCCCAAGAATTTGCGGTGACGCTATCGAATCCGCCGTCCTCGTCGTCGGATATTGGTACATTATATTTGCTAGAAAGCACGCCATCCGATTATTTAATTCTTCTAATCTGAAGCTCATCATATACTTCATTCTCTTCACGGACTACATCGGGTAGCTATGCGTCTTTCACCTAACGACAATCGATTTCTTTCAAGACCACCGCGGCCCGCTTCTACATCTCGGAATCATTTCCGATAACTGTTTAACGACGACCCTAATAATATGCCCTGAAAAATTGCCAGCTCCTCGACTTACGTCGTCAAATCGTAAGATGCTAATCGCCCAAAAGATCGTCTTCTTAAAAAAGAACAAAAAATCTCCGTGATAACGTAATCATCCACTCGATTAATTCATTCACTGTGTCATATTTTTTCATGATCTTCGCTTCTATCAGCACTTGTCTTCTCTCGCTATTCTTTCTTCGATTATGCCGTGCGATTTCCGCGATTCGCACGCGGATCTCCCCCGCCTTTGTCTTAATCAATATCAACCGTTTAAATACTAATGCAATCGTAACTTCTATGCACCATCAATCTCGTCACTTTCCCTCTTACGGTCATATTCAGTTTGGCTTTGCTAAGCGAATTAATTACTAATCGTTGAATTCATACCACTACCGACAGACTGGACAGTACATGGCATGAATCCTTCGATCGACTTTGAGAGGATCTATATGGTTGGCTAATTAATGGGTCGACCTTCTCAGGAATAACTGTTTCTATATCGATGGTATTTCAGTGCTCATTCTAAATCGCCGGGTTTGGCAGCACGGTTTTAGTTAGGCATATGCTCATGATATTCCTGACAAGGTTGTCAAGATATTTGTCTCTTCGTGTCTTTCGGTCCCTGTACAGTTGCTGGCTCATTATGCATCATTGATGTCTTACTAATGAATCTCGTTCTTTCCACTTCGTCGCACTCTCTCGCTATGGGAATCAGTGACCCGCTTGCCCTCCCAGTAATGTCCAAGTGACAAAGACTAATCAGGTTCCACGACTAGGTCGAACGCCGTTAAGGGACGCCGATAGGCGCAAGATAAGCACCACCATATCACCTAGAACAGATCCTACAACCAGTACGGTCTCGAGATACGATACGAACTTTCGAAGTCGCCAGAGACCCCGGTCGAAAGACAGGCCTACGGTGAACACGACCACGAGGCCCAGAAGACCGCCGGTCATCGACTACGATTATTACGAGGACGAGGTGCCGATCATCGCCGACAAGTCCGTCTTCAACAGTAAACTCTTCCTCACGAGCAAGGGTACCGTACGTTGCCTGGACCAGGGCAATTTCCCACATCCCTACTCGTGCAAGAAGTTCATTACCTGCGCCCCTATGGTGAACGGCCAGGTGATCGGAACCGAGTACACCTGCCCCGACAAACTGTCCTTCGACCCGATCGGCGGTATCTGCAATTGGTCCGCCGGTCTCGGTTGCAAGGATTAATCGAGGCCTCGCTTTAATCACTCGACAGTCTTCTATGTGAGAAAGCTACCTTAGGCCCAATCGCACCAATGTCTCCTAAAGCTAATTTTAATTTGGTAAATGCACTCCTTTTGTCTCTGCTACGCAAGACTACAATTCGAAAAAGAAATAGCAAATTGTTAAATTAAACTTGACTCAAATTGTTGGTGCGATCGGACCTCGATTTTTTGCATCTGTCCAGACAGTATGGAGTCGAATACAACTTTATATTTACTCCATGTTTGTACACGGTTTGTCGCCTGTGTTAAAAGTAACCAAATTTTTTTGAAATATTTTGACAAAATACAATTTTTTTCGGGACAAATATTTCAATTTTGTTCAAAATATCATATAGCGTTTCTTCTGTGGCGGTACAATGATTTATACGGCCAACTGAAGCATCAAATGATTTTTTTATGTTTATCGTGAAATGCCTTTGAGGATGTTCATCGGCCTCGTGGACTCGATGATTAGAGTAGTGTCACAACGCTTTCCTGTCATAGATATTTTAAGCCGTAGAAACAAAAGTAATCGGTGCCAAATCCGATAAATACGATGAATGGTGCAACAACGCGGTAACTTTTGTGCCAAAAAAAAAGCGTTATGGCACTATCCCAGACATTCAAAAGGCCGTGACAAGTATCTTAAAAGACATTTCACATAAAAGAGATATCAAAAAGTTATTTGATGTATTAGTTGACTGTTGTTCTATCTCTCTCCCGTCGCAGAAGAAATATATTTTAAACAAAATATATTTATCCAAAACAAAAATTGTCTATATTTTGTAATTTCTAAAACGTTCAGTTGTCTTTTGAACAAACCGTGTACATAAAATACATAATTCTTGATTATATTTAAACGACGCACTTTATTTATTTCCTTATTTCACATGTGGGAGCTACGAAAAAATATGTGGCTGTCGAGTGTTTAAGATTATTATTGCGACGTTTCGGAAGACGAGTTTTCGAATACAACGAATTGCTCAGCTCAAAATTAAAAGAGAGGAATTCTTGATCTTGCAGGACATAAATTTCTATAAAAATTCTGTTTTAGTTTACTCTCTCTTCACGCATGGCAGTCCAAATTGTTATTTATTTTAGATTCGAACTTTTGTTGCAAGATGATGGACGACAGCGTTTTACGAAAATCATCGTTAATATTACTGCAGTATACAGGATCATATGTATAATGATAATATCAAGAAATGAACGTGAAATAACTGGATTATCCATTCGAGGAGACTTGATGTTAATGAAAAGGTCACATTCTATCTCTTTTTCAACCCCCCCCCAAATCTTTTTCTCTTTTCCAACTAAAAGTTTCGCATTCTAATACATACTAAATAGAATCTTTCGTATTAACAGTCTTGGTCTAAAATTTTTTCCCATCTTTGTGAAACTTGTGGCCTTTTTGAGGAAAGTGACTCGTTCACGGTTGTTGAGTACGAAGCGGGCTATTTTCGGGCAATCATTCCGATGAAAACTATTTCGTCCACTTATTGTACGAACGTGCAATAGCCATATAATCGAGCGAAAACGCAGAGCGGTGATATTATCGTTAAAGTCTCTTTGTGTAAATATTAATAGTGTTATAAGTAGCATGTAAGATACGCGTACTTTTCGCGTGGCGTACTAGCGGCTAACTTGTCTGTAAATTTTCGCGATTAAGTCCGCCTTATTTACGTAAGGTACGTCCACCCGATAAAGAGACATACGATAAATCTTACTCGAGTCTTATCGGCGCGTCGAGTACATTAGATTTGTGTGTATCGAAGATTTTTGTACGTGAAATAAAGGCCATTTAACCACACGCGTACATTTCCTAAAAAAGAAAAAGAAAAATGAGTCGTAATAAAGGTAATATAAATACCGATGTCGTTATTTTAAACAAAGCAACTTATTTGCTATTGTTTAGTTACAATGTATTAAGAAAAATTCTTCGGCAAACACGAATGTCACGATAACGTTTTATCGAAGATGAAGAACGAGAAACCATGTGACGCAATGCAGATTTTCAGAAGAGGGAAAAAGAGTAAGCCCAAAAAAATAATTTGCTTTTCCAAAGATACTCGCACCGCAAAATGAGCAAGATTCGAAACGCTAACGCTCGAGTTGCTTTACAAGGAATATCAAAGGATGACTCATTGACGAGGATTGACCTTTTTGTGTAGATTATCGAAGCTTTCTGGGCCAGATTTCTTATATGGAGGCACAAACAAACGAAATTTTATAGACGATAACAATATGTACTTTTTTTCAAAGATTTCTTTATTTTTCCCGATATTCTTGCGTTTCACAACGTTATTTGTTATTAATCTAGTTTAGGAAGATGAAATGGGCAAAACAAGTATACAGTAGTAGCTGATAAATGTAATGCACCGCGAGACGATCGTGTTTCAGCGAGGTTTCCATCGAACTGTTACAATTTTATAAATAAATGTTTCATAAAATAATAATTAATTACAATTGTACGTGTAGGCTATATATAAATGAGAATGTATTCGTTTGTATAATAATATTTGACAATTGTTCAGTAACGAGGTACTCAGAGACGTCAACTTTCCGAACATTCGGAGACTTCACTTTCGAAGTGTATTCGTTTGCGCATGTCGCGATGCATCGGTGTATATATTTATTATATATACGTATATGTGTCAAAGTGTACGCAAAGTGTACGCTTTTGGCATTACGTATGTTTTCCTCACGTGTGTGTACGTATACATGTGAAAAAGTACGTGTGTGTATCATTTATTGGCGTGTATACTGTTCCAGCAGTCAACTTTCTGCTTTGGCGTACATTTCTCGTATTATTACTCGTCTCTTCGTGTGCCCAATATAGCATACTCCGACGGAGAAAAAGAAATAAAAAGTAATGAGAAATTAAGTAAACTCTCAAAAAAGAAAAACGCGTTAAGACAGACATGGAAAAGCGCATTAAAGCCGCAACAAGCGAAACGAAAAAAAAAGAATCTTACAGTATACTTTCGCTGACAGAAATAATTGCATTTCACACACACGAGCATTTTTATCGAGAGATTGACTTTTCACAAAGATTCGAACAGCAATGATAACTCTGACGTCACTTTTGATAGATAAGGCTACGTTGTATTTAAAATGGTAGCTGCGATTTGGAGATTTACACGGTGGACTCTATATTACAATTAGCGCCTTATCGCTCTTCGCGGATATATTTATAAAAATAAATACTTTAAGAAAAGTATTCCGTTCACTACCGTAAAATAGATAGATATATATATTTATATATATGGAGCGATATAATAAATAATTATTAAAGTCAAATAAATAAATAATTTGCTTCGTTCAGCATATGCGTGTCGCGTATCTTTAGTATACGATTTACAAAGTACATAAGGCGACGGCTTGTCGTTTAAGGATTCGTAGTGCCGCGCACATAAAAAAAAAAGAAGTATAGATATTCGATTTCGAGCATACGTTTTCTGGATACTTAGCGAGAAGGTCGATTTATATATCGTTAAGACTCGCCAAAACTCGTTATTATCCTTCTGAATTATTAGTACCTTGACGGGTTCTCCTTTATTTTGACGTTTGTGCGAACATTGATCTGTGGCTTTACAGAACGAACACCTGGCACGCGATGTAGAACTCGATAATCTTTAAAGGGGCACATTTAAGTTATCGACGAACATAATACGATAACCAAATATAATGGTACAAATGGATTCTGCCAGGAAAGTTCAATTCAAAAATATTATTAAATTTGTGTCACGCTATAATGGCAAAAATCGCAAGTCTAAAAATATATGTATATATTTCTTCCGCTGTATAATCATATACAAAATGTAGGATATAGAACTTTAGAAAAAGTTAAATTTTTCGATACTAGTATATATATGTATATATGTATAAAGAGCGAGAAAATAGTACTAGTAGAAAATAGCACTATTCTAGTAAAAATTCGGAGAGCCTGTAGTATCAATGCACTCACCAACTACATATGTATATCCAATTATGTGGGCTTCTCCTTTTTACCATAATTACCAGACTCAAGTATGGTCTCAGATGCAATACATTTCCAATTCGAAGAGAGGAATTGTAGAAGATCTTATCTATCATTGGCACTTACATTCCCAAAAAAGAAAAATGAAAGAATGAAATTCAAATTGTCTCGTTCCAGCATAGGCTACATGAAAGAATAGAAGAGTAAGCATGTAGCAAAACGTTCTTAGAAGAGTACATTAATTTCGAATTTCGAGTTCGCACTCATGTTTCCTATCCTTTTAACGAAAGGTATCCAAATATACTCATATTTGATATTCATTATTGTCGCGATAACAGACTTATATAAAAGCTACGCAATCTTCTTTCCCTGTACGTATATTTGATATGTGATTTCCATTCGTGTGGAAGAGATGTCCTTAGTTAATACCTATTTTGACACACTTAGATCCCTTTGCGTTAAAATGACATCGCCTGCTTTCTTACCAGCCCCGGACATTCCAAACAATCTCGAGTATATATGCGCACGTACAATTATTAATATTCAACGTGATGGCCGATATTATTGTACGTATTGTACTCTCTCACATTTAGTTCCGTTTTTTTTTCTTGTAAAACGTATCGCCACATGAAAATACGTTGATGCGTTAGAGTACTAAAATAGTAGGAGAAATTTTTAGGCATTGTTCACCTGTCAATTGACGAATACCTGATCTGTTTGTTTTCTTCGTCTTCTTCTCGATATCATTTCGTATTGAATAATATCGATTTTTACATCATTACGTTCGTCTACAGATCAGATTCGCCGTATAAAGCCGTTGAGAAGGAGCGGTAGTCCAATGCCCCAGGCACAGCGCTCGGTCCTTTGAACGGAGGCATTCGCTGAATACAGTATTCCGCCTGATCCGGTGGTAATTCTCTCCTCAATTCGTCTGGCAAGATGTAAGGCTGTAAGGAAAGAATTTATGATTTAAATTGAACGACACGTGACTTTCATTGATGCAAATTGTCACGGAAATTCAAATATTCTTACCTTGTCGCCAGCGAGAATGCGGAAACTGTCGATGACCTGTTCCGCCGTGTCAGTATCGGTGGACTCGCGCGTCATGAAGTCTAGGAAGGCGTCAAAGTGTACATAGCCCGAATTGTTGGGATCGACGATGGCCAGGATTCGTTGGAAGTCAATGTCACCCTGCCTATCCTTTCCAATAGAGTATCCCAGAGATACAAGGCAGGATTTAAACTCATCCGGTGCCAATCTGCCTGTCCTGTTCTTGTCGAAGTGGTTGAAACTGCTTCGGAATTCATTCAGCTGCTCCTGGGTGATGCCCTGAAACAGAAATGCATTTGCCCTCATTTTTAAAGATGTTAATGATAGCGAAATCTCATTCGTCAGTAAACATAATATCTTATATTAAAAATTTATGCTTAAACCACATCATTGTTCCAAAGGATTAAGATAAATATTGCATCGCATATTTTTGATCTTGTCAAGCCATTTCTTCAATGATGAAGTTTGTTTAAAAAGATATAAGTTTATATTTTACATTTTTGCATGAACAAATAATTGTTCTCTTTACATCCCTAAATCTTTAGAGATTTATACGAATATTCTTTTCATATCGAGTCAATCAAATACCGATAACAACTCTGTATATAAAAAATGTTACTTTCCTCTCAAGCGTAATTTAGAAGAGTAATTTAGAAATACCTTCGAATCTCTGGTAAGAATTTGATTTTCGACTTCGTTAACGTTGCGATTGATCGAGGTCAGAAGCTGTTCCCAACCGACGCGCAGCGTTTCCATGGTATACTGGGTGTAGCGATTCTCGAAGATCATGCCTTCCTGAACCGCTTGGTGGATCTTCTCCAATTCCTCGAGATGAGCCTTGTACTGATACACCGCCTGTTCGTACTCCTTCAGACGATGTAACTGATCCTCGAGAGTTCCCTAAGATATGAATGCAACATTAAGAACTCCGTAAAATATATAAACGACAGATCAATCTCTACGTAAGATTGATGCGTCACCTGAAGGCCGAGACCAATCGCGGTGACGGCGTCCAATTGGCGTTCTATCCATGGTCCGACAACATTGGCTTTTTCAGCGAACTGTCGTCTAAGCAGCTCATTATCTATTTTCACAATTCAGGAAATATCCTTCAAGTCGCATATCTATCTAATCATTCGAAACATTTTCATTAAGTCACTATAAAAATTCTTATTCAACGTGAAGTTTACTCGACATTATGAATCAGCAAATAGCAGAAGAAAATTAGATAATCGATATCACGAGACAAGGATACTTTGTTGTTTGCGAAGTTCAGCGGCCAGGGTACCGTCGCGTTGAGGGACTAATTGTCTAACGTCGCTCCATTTCTTAGTAAGGTCCTGTAGAACAATGTTGATTAATTTACAGAGGTAAGTCTCTGTACCGTAAGTATACTCAATAATTTATCCCTCGGCATACCATTGCAGTGAGAGCAGTGTAAGGATTCTCTAGGCCGCCAGGAATCTGATATTGCTTAACTATGGATTCGACTTCGCGCACCAATCCCACAATCGAATTGTACTCCTTATCCGCTTCGCCGAGGGTAGCTTTGAACGCAGCGTGCGCGTCCATCAAACCTTGGATCTCCTCCATTGTGTGGACGATAAACATGTCCACTAGATCTTCTCTGGTTCCATCCAACCAATTGTTGAATGGCTGAAAATCGCACGACGTCAGATGTTACGCCCAGGGTAAGAACAAAAGAAGCTGGCAATTTTATAAATATAATCAAGTGCTTACAGCAGCGCGTTTGGCAAATTCCAGATGTAAGACGTCTATCTTCTCCAGGATTTTCTCGGCTTCGTCGAGAGCTTGACGTCTACGTTGGGTGAGCGTACCCAAGCGATCCCATTGATCGCAAATGCGTTGGCATCTTGCGTTCACCGATGCACTATCGTGATACTCAAGAGTGCTGTAACAACAAAGTGCCAATGTTACAACGATCGAGACACAACCGTCTGAGACAAATAAAAAATGTTTGGAAATTACTTGAGCTCTTGAGCGATAGCCGCGATCTGCTCTACGCGATCTTGATGAGCCGCGAGATCTGACTCGAAGGCCTCGTGCTTCTTCTTTAAGGCCTTGAGTTCGTTCAGTTTGCACTGTCGGAAGTGTTGGGACGTGAGCATCTCTTCCTTGCCGGCGGTCCAATCCTCGTGAGCGTCCGCCTTGTGTTTGAATTTTTGCGCAAGATGTTCAAGTCGCTCCAGACGCATCATCTCGGACAACAACCAATCCTCGAACGTCTTCTCGGCTAACTCCAGGTCTAAAAGTTATTTTTGACATATTATTTTACCCAACAATATATAAAAAGATATACAAACAAATTCTGAAAAAAAAACAACTTACTTCTCCAAGCTTTATTTATGTCGGACACCATTTTCCCTTCCGTGGGCATGTACGCCGGTCTGTTGCTCAGCCTTAGCTTCGTCTGAAGAGTATTGAAATTCGTCTCCAGCTTGGCTTTCTGTTCGACACGCGGCGGCTTATGCTTACGCCGATACGTCCGGTACTCCTCCAGCTTCTTCTGGCAACCGGCGAGGGAATTGTCAGTCTGCCGATTCGCGAGCCACGGTAGCGTTCGTCGTATCCATTCGAGCAAATCGGAAGCCAAACGTTCGTATTCCTCCATGAGACGCTCGTTCTCTTGGTTCACCTTCAGTACCTTGCAGATTCTGTTGGCCGCTGTCTCCGCCTACAATAAGAGAGCGCACATTTCTCCCGTTACCAAGAATTCCCAGATTTACGTTTGCACATTTGAAATGTTTGCAGTTTACTTCCGTTGAGCAAGACACATGCAATCGTGAATATAGCCATCTAGAAATGTGAATAGGAAACTTGAGCTATATTAGACGCCTGAATTTTTTCGCCGCGCGAGTTAATATATATTTCAATAGTGCGTATACAAATAGTCAACGCGTTTGTTATAGGTTTGTTATTTGAATTGCAGGACACACACCTTTTGAGCACCGCTAAAACAGTGGTAGTACGAAGAAACATAGGTCATCACGGCCCTCTCATCAGGCATTGCCGTATTTCGCATATCTAGAAAAACACATTCAAAGAAACTCAAACCATGCGTTGTTAGCGCAAACACTTGCCATTAAGAGCTTAATTAATTTTAACAATAAACAAGCTCGGCAAGGAGCGAAGTGTCATTAGTAATTCATTATATAATTCTCACAATATCATATTTACACAAATAATAAAAATGTGACGTCCCTCGCATGAGCAACACTGGCAAGGGTGATACAAAATTCGGTGATGTAATCGCAAGTTTATTCATAATTAAGAAGTTACGGAACACAGTGCGCAGTTTGTTTCGGTACTCTGGTGAAGTAATTCAATTAAGACAATAGCAAGGTAATCGATTAGCAGGTTCAAACGTTCAAACGTCATTAACGGTTAGTATCCAATTCGTTTAATTATAGTTCGCCTTAACGGAGGATATAACAGGTCGTTCTTTACAACGGGGGGTAGGAACGGAGGACAGCAACACGCATTTCTTTTTGTTTTACGCTGACCTGCTGAGCACCTTGGAACGCGTGGTAGTAACAGGACACGTACGTCATGATAGCTCGCTCATCCGGCTTGGGAGTGTTGATCAAATCTATACGATATCAAGGGAACATTAAAACATTAAGCGTTTACACATGTCACTTCGATACTCAAAAAAATCCAATCGTAGTTCCATCCTATGCAGCGAAAGGCAAATATCTAATCTCGGCGACTCGATACAATCGTCTCCTCGATCCTAAAGTGTTCCGAATACGTGTTCCATATCTCTAAAATTATGTCCCTCTATCGCAAGTACCTGAATATGTCATATATTAATTTCACGTTTAATTCGATGCTCACCATCGGGATCTAACATGCGAGGAATGTCGAGATACTTTTCAGCGACATCAAAGGCAGTGTTCAAGTTCTCCAGCGGGTTGTCCTTGCTGAGTTTGTTGTAGTCGATCAAGTCGGGCCGATGACGATGAATAAGAGCGCAGAACGCGAGACCGTCCTTGAAGGACAGGTGGAAGTTTTGAACGTTGACGTTCTTGTACGGTGCCGTCTTGCGTTGGCACCAAAGCAACAGTCCTTCCTTCGCGGTCATCTCCTCCACGGAGATATCCTGGATCGCGAATCTCAAGATAATGGTCCATATCATTCCCAGGGTCATCTTTAGATTGCCGTCAACGATTTCTGTCAAAAAGTTATCGACACTTGAGGAGCGCGCAGGGTAAAATAAGTCATGTATTAATTCCCTAATTACTTTCACGTTGCATTAAGAAAATATGCGACCGCTGAAAGTCTAACAAACTTGGATTTTTGTATTGCCTTTACTATTGGCATAAAAAAAAGAAATGTTCGACACGATTTAATGTACTGCACTCTTACGCAATGATTATGTAAAGAATTTCAAGAGAGAAAACGTACCTTCTGCGCCAATTGAAACCAGCTTGACGCCCTTACTGGCGATATAATCGAGGGCCTTGTTCACGTTGGCGATCTTGTGGAACCTCATCTTGCCTCTGTCGGGCCTCGGAAGGGTCTCCCCTGAGATCACCTCGAGCAGCAACATCAGTTTCAACCCATTCCTGAAGTCGTCTTCGATCGATTCGATGGCAGTGCCTGCTTTGCGTAGATGCGAGTTGCACCAAGCTGTGAATGTCTGAGGACATGAAAAGAGGGACCAATTAATCCGCGCTCAACAATAGGTAGGTTGGCGCTGAGAGAGTCGCGGGGGTTGATGCACACTGCTCGTCAACAATTCGTTCCGTTCACCTAAGCAAATTACATATACTATATAAATTTGCTGGGGGGGGGGGGAGGGTAGTGGAACGAATTATTGACGAACAGTGTACAACCAACGGACAGAAAGAATATAAATAATAGCGATCGAAGGGCAGTTTGACTCCTTGCCGGTCCCCTTGGCAGGTCTCCTTAATTTTTCATATACCGAGCGTACCAAGAAGAAATAAATCATTTAAAACGGGGGATTGAGTTTCTCCGCTATACTGCTTAGTGTATATTTTAGTAGCGACCTCGATCCCTCCCGCTATATATATCTTCTGTCCTGGTTCTTAAGCCACGCTTTCTATCGTTCCGCAATGATTTTCGGATAATCTTTCGATATCTTTCTGTGAAACAAGTGCACGCGCGCCCTTGGTAAAAACCGCTCTTGCACGCAGCGAGTATATTGTTCGCCGAAATGGAGCAACGGCGAAACCCGGGTGCCGTAGGAAAATCTTGCGGCGCGGTCACCGAATTAAAAAGACAATCGCTTACGACGCGTCAGATCGAAATCGCCGCGATCTTCGCCGCGCGGCAAATCGATCAGCCTCTCCGCGGTGTCCCCGTATCTTCGGTGGCGGCAATTTTGCGCGGTATGAAAAATCGCACGAATAAATAAATGCAAACGGATTGCGTCCACGTTGCGTTCGGGTGCGAGGAGACGAGCATAGAGGTGAATCCCGGAGGGGATCGTGCGCGAGTTCGCGGGATATTTATTCGAAAATCGCGGAGCGAGGCGCGGCTATTCGATCGGGATCGATAAAAACGCCCGGGTTGCCGCGACGTTTCAAACTTTCGGGTTGGAAAAATATTGCGTGAAATTCAATACGGGCGGCGTGAAGCCCACGACGGGCCAATTTTGGACATGAGCCACCCTCCTAATCTCTCTCTCTCTCTCTCTCGCTCTCTGCACGCGCTCTAAGATCTATTTGTAAAACATTGACTCCTCCCGCGCCCGAGTATTACAGCATTTCCGAGGGCATTTCCGAATCCGCCGGTTATTTAACAATTAGACCGCGGACGTAATTCTCGTTACGTCATCGATTGCACGTGGGCGATCGTCGGCGAGAGAAACAGAGGCGGATTACGGGCCGCGATTGTAAACGCGCGATCGATGGAACTCGCGCTTTCGTTCGGTAAATATGTAATAATAGCATCGAATAATCACGCTCCCTCCCCCCCCCCCCCGGCCGCCGATGGAGCGTGTCGTCGCGCGATACGTTTGCACGAATTCGTAATTTAATACGTCGGAGTTTTAAAAAGTCCCCGGTCGACGCGCGAATGATGTGCTGCATCGATGGAAATACAGCCACGCGCAGCTCACGGACAAGGGAGCGTCGTCGGGGGACGAAGGAATGCGATAGCCCGATGTATTTGCTGATAACGCATTATTTCTATTTCCGACCGTTTATGCGTTACGTGTAACACGACCGCTCGTTTTCCGGCCCGAGCCGACGCGAGCGCGCTCCGCCGCTTTCGACGGCGATTTACGCGAAGACGAACGGTAAATAATATCCTCGACGAGCCTGCGCGCCACGTAATCCACGACGAGACGAATTCTGGACCGAGAGAAAAAAAAGAGAATTCCAAGCGGCGCGCGAGAAAGAAGTATACGTACTTCGTAAATAAAGAGCTACTTTTAGAAGCGGTCGACATTTATTTCTCTCGTTCAATTGCAAAGCGACCGAGGAAACAAGCCAGCTTGCTTATCTGACATTTAAAGTTCCCCGCCGTTCGTAATCGTGCGACGCCGATTATAATATTGTTTCGAAGGCAATACTGGATTTGTTATATTCTGTTATAATTATGTTTAATACGTTTGAACTGAACTTTGGTGCGGGATCAAGTTACCTTTACAAACGATAAATTCTCCCTTTGTTCGATGCTGCGTGTGTCGTTTGAGATGCCTGTGCTTTACCATGGCTATTTCTCATAAATGTAACGTTTACTGTCGTGGACAGGCCATTATTTTCCAACGATTCGATGCTATCAATCAGGGCGATCGACGCAGTTAAAGAAAATATGAAGAAAAACGTTCGCTTTACGAGTCGTTGTTCCCCAATGCACGCGCACGTAAGGCTTTTACATATAACATCTTAGTCTCTTAAGTTACCGTCCCTTCTGTCTGCTCTTCTCGTATTGTCGTCTAGTCCAGACAGTACTATCTTACAATCGTCAAAGGCTCGCTCCTCTTTGTATATGTAAACAGGGTGAGGAAAAAGTATGGAAACCCCTAAAGTTTTCGAAAACCATGCATATTAAACAAATAAAAAAAATGTTTCAGACATGGCAAAAGTTGTTCCAATTAATTAATAGAAGAAGATGATATAAGAAATGGAGGTTTCCGTTTAAAAAATTCAAGATGACCTTCATGTAACCTTCAAACGACTATCCAAGGTCAAACCAATGATACCATTCTATGTCCCCCTTGAAATCATACAACTTTTGTCTCAAACATTTGTTTCTAAAACGCATAGTTTTCGAAAACTTTAGGGGTTTCCATACTTTTTCCTCACCCTGTATACTACGATAGCGTCGCTGGTGTCGGTGGCACAAATTTTGTTCCTCCCGTGAGTCATCATCTCTCTACAAACCTTCATGTATGACACACGCCGGTACATTAAAGATAATATAAGCACTATCGTTATTCCCGACGTGCGTCCCGCGTTATTCCGGCGAGCGATCCTCAAGGATTATCTCGCGATCGGCGAAATTTAGCGAGCACACTCAACTAAATGTACTGATTGCAGATAGATTTTACGACTCGATTAACGAATCTATAAACCGCGTTGGAGCTGTGATTCTTTCAATAAAAAAAACCTGCATAATTAGAACCAATAAGATAATCAAAATCATCAATTAAAATCATTTTTGGACATGTTGATCAGCAATTGTTGGAATACCATCACTATTTAATCCTTTAACGCGGTGTTTTGATCTCTTCTGTCTCTTAAATTTTGTGCTCCGGCCGATGTTTAGCCTACCACGTCTTCACATTTCGAATTCCAATCTAGAGCCCAACTAAAATAGCTAATATAAACTTTCTGAAACTGACAATATTTGACCAACATCTTTTTTTGCAAATTTTATTAAACACAATTGTCAAATTTCACAATTCTCAAAAAATTTATTTAAAAAATCAAATAATGTACAATATACAAACAACAGACTTGAGTAAACAACACGTGCAGTTGAAAACAGTGTGATTTTTGCAGTATGTAAACGCATTGAAGACACGCAATATGATTTGGGAGGTTGACTTTCACGCATAACACGAACCTTCCCCAATTTTCCCTCCTCATACGATGTCTTCTCCCTCACTGAGGTGTGCCCGCCTTAATGTTTGTCATTTCACATAAACTGCTTATTAATGATTGTGGAGATAAACAGCGGGAATTACTTTTATTTTTTGTAGATATTATCGATCTATTTTTTTCAGTTAAATCTTTTGGACTCATACTTGATCTAACTGCAAAATTTGATGATTTTAGGTCCACTCCTTCAGAAGAAGTTAAATGTCAAGATTTTGCATTTTTATTATGGAGCTCCGTTCTTATAATATAATATTTATATATTAAAGACATAATTAATAGAACGCTTTCGCTTCAAATATAATATATTCGTCGATAAAAAAGCCAGTAAAAAAAAAGAGCAGGAGAAAACTTTTTGTTATGTACATTCGGCGTGAGTATAATTATCTTCTTTTTTACTTCCCAACGTTCATTTCCCATATCAGCGTAACTATTATTCAGTTAGTATGTAGGTGTCGACCATGAGTAAGTATATTTGCACAAAAACAGCCTCCGAACATTCTTCCTCGTGCAATTTACATAATCGAAATCTTCACGCTCGGATTATCCCGCTAATTTATTTCTACTTCGAACATTTAACAATAGCCTACGTTCGTCTGTGCTCCTCCTGTCATCCTTATCGGATCATTTCGTGCCTTATCAAAATACTTGCGCGCGCACATACAGCGTAACCTTCGATAAGGCGTAACATCAAAGCGTGGCCGTCGTTTGCAAATGCAAATGTTCGTCCTAGGTTCTATCGCCGCTTGTTTTCTATCTTCTGCGGACCGCGAACGTATGCCTCTATCATGTTGCATCTAAACTTGGCAACGGAACAGTTTAATTACGGATCAGTCTGCAAATGTAATCATTCTCGTGAGAATGTCAACGGGTCTCTTCAACGAGTCTCTCGAAGCTCTTCTTCGAGCCGTCAATTTACATCTTGAGAGGAATAATTTGATAATCTCCGCTAATTATATATGGAAGTTGTATTTAAATTATATTTAGATCGCGCAAGGAATTTTTCGAAGAGCCATATCTCGAGTACGTCTCGAATTAATTCGCCCTTGGGAATACGCTACTTCGTCTTCGACGAGGCAGATACCTATAATCCGACATTGTAGCTGCGTACATCAAGATATTCGACTTTTATAAGGACTCAACTTTTTATTTCTCATTTATTATACATAAAGTCGCAACGATATTTTTCGCAACTTCAACGCATGTCTCATTTCCATTTCCAAAGTCAACGTTCATTAATAAACGTCAATTCCTTAACAAATTAACAATTTTTCACTAGATCTCGCGCAGGTAGATCCGAAACGCCCTTCTCACGGCACATCGTCACCGCTATCGTGCCCGACGTCATTGATAAGAGCACGTCTTGGCGCGAGGGTGGACTATTTAACGGACGGGAGGGGGAGGCTTGAATCGCGGAACAGTTACACGGGAGACGCGGTCTGTAATTACTACTACGACCTTTCGAGCGAGGCCAATATCTAGCCAATATCTAAAATAGTTAATCGTGGGTGTACCGCGAAATGTCTGCATGATGAATCCGCGTTTGGCGCACGCGGCTGCGTGCAGC